TAATATAGGACACAAAGAGTCTGCTCATTTTCCATAATAACTGAAACAACATGCATAACTAATTAATAGCCCTAAGTTTCACAGGAAACAGGACAATACAATTGACAAGGCCTCAGGGAACTTGAATTGGTAGTAGCTGCTAGAACTAAAAAGAGCATGTGCATGATCTAAGTTCAAATTCAGCATTTAAATGGTTAATGTCTGCAACCCATAGTTTTATCTATTGTAAATGTATGATTAAATGAGATATGGGTTGGGTAGGTCTTATCAAGAATGCTTCAGCGCAGGATAAGTTTTGAATTATGGCTTATTTATTGTGGAAAATATCAACTTGGGAATGTGATCCACAGTGTAGACACCAGATTCATGTGTTTTATATATACCTTATATGGCAATTTTATACATTATTTCAAATACTTTTCCTGCAGATATGTACCCTGAAGTATCAGAAAATAATGGTGTCAACATTTCGGCAACACACAAGGAAAATCAGTGATTATTTGATATCAACACTGGTTACTCTAAATTTATGTGATACCGAAAAGCAGCCACTGTCCTATTCTTATTCACACATAAGTACAATAGTAAGAACAAGATATACCATGGACACCGCTGAAATAGATGTTAAGAGTAACATAGTAACACAATTAGCTTCATAAAAATATCTATATCAGGTGTTATTCAGTAGCAGCAATAAACAACTACCGACTTTTGGTGTCTACCTAAGATGTGATTTGATTAAAAGGCTATTGTAAATGATGTTTTATTGTTTTATCTAAGAATAAAGACCAATAGTGGCTCTCAACTTTTCGATTGTCGTGGCCCTTTGATACAGTTCCTTATGTTGTGCTGACCCCCATCCATAAAATTATTTTGGTTGCTACTTCATGACTGTAATTTTCCTGTTATGATTCATAATGTAAATATCTATGTTTTCTGATGGTCTCAGCTGATCCCTTCTGAAAAGGTCATTAGCCGCAATGCACAGGTTGAGAACCACTGGATTAGAAGTAGTTAAGAGATGCAGGGGTAGGTCTCCTAGGAATGAGGAAACACTGTGCTGGATTCTTTTAAAAACGTTTCTTCCAGAGTCATCTACCCCATTATTATTATTATTATTATTATTATTATTATTATTATTATTATTATTATTATCATTTGTCTCAGAAGCCTCTCTTTCGTCTTATTAACTATTGCGATTTCTAACTAATAAACATTTTTCTTTTCCTCCAATGAGCCCATTATCCATTTTCACTGTGTCAACAATAGGCACTTTCCCTGAAGTGTTAAAAATGTCACCTTCATTCTAACTATTGTCATGATCATCTTGATTCAGAAACATTTTGACTATTTTACCATCAGCCAATGAATGAAAAGGACAGTGACAACAATGTAGTATAACCTTTTTTGATAGCCACTTCAATGCAGGGTTTCATTTTTCCAACAGCACAAGCTTTATAACAACAAATCTTTAAAACTTTCAGATCCAGTCTTGCCTTAAACTTCCACAACTAGCTTATGAAATATAGTTCCTTTAAGTTTGGGTTTACTGGGGTAGATCAGTTCTTGTTAGTGGAAGGTGTTAATTACAACACAATGGGTCCACAATTTAAATATATAACTGAGATTTTTAAAAAAATTATGTGGGATTTTGTTCGTCATGTTAGAATAGTATTTCAACAGTTCATTCTTTTTCTTTTTTCTTTAATTTATTCATTACAATTTATTTACTTTGTATCTTCGCTGCAGCCCCCTCCCAAGTCTCCTCCCAGTTTCACCCATCCTCCCTCTTCTCCCCCTATGCCTTTTCCCTAGTCCCCTGATAGGGGAGGTCCTCCTCCTCTTCTCTCTAGGTATGCATCGTGGTCTTCCAACACCACAATCTTCTGTAAAATGTTTCATACTTATACTCCTTGTCCAGTCTCTTCAATCACTTAATTTTTCTATTAGAGATCAACACATCTTTCTCTCTCTCTTTTTTTTTTTTTTTTTGACTGTGACACATACAGTTATCTATGGGCACTTTGAAGGTATTTTTAGCAATCTTTATATTACAGAGAGAACAAGCAAAATTAATTAAACAAACAAACCACAGTAAGTAATATACACAGGTCTTATGCAGAACATGGATTTGGCCCAGACACACATCATTTCATTATTTTTTGCAGGTATTCTTGCAGTAGATATATAACAAGTTTTGTTGAGGTCTGAGTCATCCTTTCCTTAGCAATATTTCATTAATTGTGTTTGAGCCTAAATTTCCAAAGAGCCTCATCGGCGGCTTTGAGGTGAGTTCATGGGGAAAAAGTATTTGCTGGCAAGCCCAATGCCTTGAGTTTAATCTTTGAAACCCACATAGTAGGTGAGAGCCCACTTCCACCAATTTACTGTGATTTTCACGTGTGTGTGCTGTTACATGCGTGTGTGCATACATAAACAATAAATAAAATAAATAAAAAACATTTTTGTACTTTGAATGAATTTCAGGATTACTACTCAATCTGTATCATGCGTAAAGAAGTTAAACTAATGATTGGAATACATATGTATAAGTATTCCAAAATGTATATTTTAACTACATAACATTTCTTTTCTATTCTTCAGAACCTATGGATAGCTGTAGGAAAAAAAAAAGAGTTAGACATTGTTATTTTTTCTTGTTAGACCAAAAAGTAGAAGCGTACATTAATTGTTATTTCCTGAGACTAACCAAAAATAGAAACAAAGGTTCTCACTGCTACATAATGAGGGTAAGAGCATTAACTCAGCATTGCTGCCATTCTGAGTTCATGTTTTGTCCCATACATTTAGGTTAGATATTTTATAAATGTCTTACTCCTGAGATATAAAATAACACTTGTGTGAGTTGAAATAATAAATTACAAAGTCATAAACAGAAAGAATAAAAATGGCAAGATATATGAACTGTAATTAACAAGTACCCATTAATTGCAGAAGTGCCATGTTCTCTCAGTGGAAGTAAAGAACGTATTATAACAGGTGAGCATTCATTAAAAAGGAGATTTTAAAAAATAAAGAAGTAAGCTATTCACTGACAACAAAAAGATACCTTTCACTGAGTATTATACAACCATAATTTATTTCTCATAATAAAATATCAGCCTAAGAGCAATGAAATTTGTCCTCTGATCTCTACAAGCATATTGTGGCATGTGCGCCTACCTCCCTCAACATCGACAACATAAAAAAATAACCAAATCCATTAATGGATTTAACAATAATACCAAATTGACACTTGGAAGTCTGGTTGTTGAATATAAAATCAGAGCAAGGAAGTTTGATTTTCTTAAGAAATATTTCATTCAGCTGACCACAGTGGCACATGCCTGTAATCCCAATACTCAGGAAAGTAGAGGCACGTGGATCTCTGTGAATTTGAGAGTAGCCTGGTCTACAACGCCAGTCTAGGACAGCCAAAGCTACACAGAGAAACTCTGTCTCAAAAAATTGAATAAAAACAGAAAGAAATATTTTATCCAAATGAATATACTGCTAAATAAAATACTCCCTTTCTAGAAATACCTTGTTCTAATCTTTTTTAAAATCAAAAATGTACTGGAAAAATACCAATTTTGAGTTCAATATAATTTTATTTTACTGAAGTCTTGCTTCGTACTACGATATTTAATTATTAGATTATATTTTTCTATTACACAAAACAGGATGACCGTAACTAACGTGTTTTGATTCTTTTATAGGTTTCCTAAAATGTATATTTAATTAACATAGTTTAAAACATTTCTTCTTCTTCCTCTTCTCAATTTATTCACTTTTTGTCCCAGTTGTAGATCCTTCCTTTGTCTCCTCCTGTTCCTACCCTCTCTCCCTCTTCCTCCTATATCCCTCTTCTCTAGTCCACTGATATACACTATCACTGATATGGACCATCTTACCCTATCCTATCTGACCCTAGCTTATCAGGTCCCATCAGCACTGCCTGGATCCTCTTCCTCTGTGGACTGTCTAAGTTGCCCCACCAGGGAGAAGTGATCAAGGAGCAGTCAGCCAAGTTTATGTCAGAGACTTTTTCTACTTCCCTAACTAGGGCACCCACATGGAAACTGAGTGTCTGAGGACTACATCTGAGTAGGAGGTTCTTTCCATGCATGGTCTTTGGTTGATATATCAGTCTCTGTAGTCCTCCCTGGGCCCAGCCTTTTTTGGTTTGTTGGTCTCCTTGTGGGACTCCTGTCCCCTTCAAGTCCTTTTATATACCCCTTCTTTTAAAAGACTGCCTGTGCTCTGTCCAAAGTTCAGCTGTGAGTCTCTGCATCTGCTTCAATCCCCTGCTGGGTAGTCTTTTTAGAGGACATCTGTGGTAGGATCCTCTCCTATTCCCTCTCTTCTACAGCTTCTGTGTTTATCCTGTTTTCCCTTCTCAATGAGAATTAAGCATCTTCCCTAGGGTCCTCATTGTTGTTTAGGTCTGTAGATTTTAGTATGTTTATCTTATATTATATGGCTAATATCCAATTTTAAGTGAGTATATACCATGTATGTCTTTCTGCTTCTGAATTACCTCACTCAGGATGTTCTTTTCTAGTTCCATCTATTTGCATGTAAATTTTTTGATTTCCAAATTCAAGTGACAACACATGCTGGAGAGGATGAAGAGAAAGGGGAACCCTCCTCAATTGCTGGTGGGAATGGAAATCAGTCTGGTGCTTTCTCAGAAAACTGGGAAGAGTGCTACCTCAAGAACCAGCTATACCACTCCTGGGCATACATCCAAAATACACTCTACCATACAACAAGGACATTTGCTCAACTAAGTTCATAGCAGCTTTATTTGTAATATTCAGAATCTGGAAACAACCTGGATATCTCTCAACTGAAGAATGTATACAGAAATTGTAGTACATTATGATACACAATGGAATACTAATCAGTTATTAAAAACAAGGTTAATACATTTTTATTATGGATTACTTTTTATAAGTCATAGTGTATTAATTGCTACTTAAATATTGGGTACTTACCACATGAAGAATTTTATTTTCAGTTTCATATACAGTGCAATCCTAAAAAAAGAAAAAAAAAGCAAATATTATGTTCAAGAAATTAGGCACCCATTTTAAGCTATGTTTTTAGGGATTGTACTAAGAAAAGTTCTGACATTTAAAGTAAAAACTGAAACAAGACTGTAAAAAATCTGGAATTTTTACTTTTTACCCAAGTAGTAATAATGGTAACATTAGACAGTTAATTTTCCTTAAGTACATTTTCTAATTTGACTATCTTTAGACACATGTAACAAAGAGCAATACACATTTAGATTACTTTTGAAACATTTAAATTAGAATTTTTTTTCTATTTAAACTTTGTCCGTGATAAATTAATCTGTCAAAATATCGCCAAGGTTTTGAACACTGATATTATAAGGTAGACCATTAGTAAAACATTAACATTTATTTCAATGTTTCTATCAAAATCTCATACTTTATTATTTTTTAACTATTGCAAACTAACAAATGTACTTTTTCTTATATATTTGAACTTGTTTGCCTGCTCTTTGATCACCTCTTCCTGGTGGGGTGAACCACCAGGCCACAGAGGAAGAAGATCCAGGAAGTTCTGATGAATTCTGATAGGCTAAGGTCAAACAAAAAGGGAGGAAGACTTCCCTTATTAGTGGACTAGGGAAGAGGGAAATAGGGGAGGAGAGGGAGGGAGGGTAGGGCCAGCAGGAAATAATGGAGGGGGCCATAACTGGGGGACAAAGAGAATAAATTTTAAATAACAGTAATAATCATAATAAAATGATAACATGTTTATAGTTTTTTAAATTTGAATCTCTGTAATTTTAAAAACCAACCATAAGTTTATTTACAACTGTTTGTTAAACAATAAGCCACAATATAAAAACATGACTTCAGCTGAGAAACTTAATATCTGTTTTGTTCTTTAAGAAATTTGTAAGATGGACATAGACATTGTATGTGGTAGTAGTGACCCAATAAGAGTGAACTGAGAACTAAGTGAGAAATGATAAACTGCTTGTCCTAGAGATTGACACATAGGGGTTAACAAATATGCTGTTACAGTATATTACTCATGTTTGACACCATTATTTTAATTTTTAAAAACCAATGACCTTTACTTAAAAATATAAAATTAACAATTACTTGGCACATCCATATTCTATTCTGTTGTGTATTTTAAATAATTTTATTTTTTTTCCTTTGAAATAAATTTTAAAGAGAAAATCCACAGTATAGTTTAGGCTTCTTTGACAAAAATTAGGTGTCCATAGGTATGTGGGTTTATTTCTGGGTTTTCTATTCGATTCCATTTATCCTCCAGTCTGTTTCTATACCAGTACCATGCCACATTTATTACTGTTGCTCTATAGTACAGCTTGAGATCAGGGATGGAGATACCTAAATAAGATCTGCTATTGTACAAGATTGTTTTAGCAATTCTGGGTTTTTGCTTTTCCATATGAAATTGAGAATTGTTCTTTCAAGATATGTAAAGAATTGTGTTGACATTTTGGTGGGATCTGCATTGAATCTGTAGATTGCTTTTGGCAGGATGGCCATTTTCACTATGTTAATTCTACTGATCTATGAACATGGGAGATTGTTCCATCTTCTGATATCTTCTTCAATTTCTTTCTTCAGAGACTTGAAGTTTTTTTTTTTTTTTTTTTTTTTTTTTCATACAGGTCTTTCACTTGCTTGGTTAGAGTCACTCCAAGGTACTTTATGTTATTTGTGGCTGGTTTTGTTTCTCTAATTTCTTTCAATACCCTTTTGTCTTTTGTATACAGGAAGGCTACTGATTTTTTTTTTTGAGTTAATTTTGTATCCAGCCACTTTGCTGAAGGTGTTTATCACCTGAAGGAGTTCCCTGGTTGAATTTTTGGGATCACTCATGTATACTATCATATCATCTGCAAATAGTGATACTTTGATTTCTTTCCGATTTGTATCCCCTTTATCTCCTTTAGTTGTCTTATTCTCTAACTACGACTTCAAGTACTATGTTGGAGAGATATGGAGAGTGTGGGCAGTCTTTCCTTGTCCCTGATCTCCGTGGGATTGATTTAAGTTTCTCTCCTTTTGGTTTGTTGTTGGCTATAGGCTTGCTGTGTACTGCCTTTACTGTGTGTAGGTATGTGCCTTGTATCTCTGATCACTCAAAGACTAAAGATGAATAGGTGTTGGACCAGCTTTTGGCATCAAGATCTCTCAGCTGGGTCCCCATCTGCCTGACCCACCTGGGTCACAGACACAGAGCTCAGATATGGTTAGCTGTGCACAGTCCCCATTCACATCGTCCTCTATCCTGAGGTGCTGGAACTGCTTTGGCTTAGAGATCTTTCCTCCTGTTCTCCATCTGAATGGCCCATATGGGCCACAGACACAGAACCCAGCAGAAATCGCAAACTAACAGACATCATGAATCAAATGGACCTAACAGATATCTACAGAACATTTCACCCAAACATAAGAGAATATACCTTCTTCTCAGCACCTCACTGAATCTTCTCCAAAATTGACCACAAAGCAAGCCTCAACAGATATAAAAGGATTGAAATACTTCCTGCATCTTATCAGACCACCATGGAATAAAGATGGAACTCAAAAACAGAAACAACAGAAAGGCTAAAAACTCATGGAAAGTGAACAATTCCATACTCATTGGGTAAGTGAATAAATAAAGAAATTGAAAACTCTAGTATTCAATGAAAATAAAGGTACAACATACCCAAACTATTCGGACACAATGAAAGCAGTGCAAAGAGAAAAGTTCATAGCACTAAGAACCTTCATAAAGAAATTGCAGAGATCCCATACTAGTAATTTAGCAGCATAACTGAAAGCTCTAGAGCAGAAGGAAGCAAACACATAAAAGAGGAGCAGACAACAGGAAATAATCAAACTCAGGGCTAAAATCAATAAATTGGAAATGAAGAGAACAAAGAAAAAAATCAATGGAAAACAAAGTAGAAAAGAGCCTTGAACTCATTAGCACAGGAGACAACTTCTTGAACAGAACACCAACAGCACAGGCGCTAAGAGCAACAATCAAGGGGAGGAGGACCTCTCCTATCAGTTGACTGGAGATGGGGATCATGAGGAGAAGAAGGAGGAAGGGAGGAGTTGGAGGTGGCAAGGGAGGGGACTACAGCAGGGATACAAAGTGAATAAACAGTAATTAATAAAAAATTATTAAAATATATTTTAAAAAGATCAACAATCAATAAATGGGGCCTCATGAAACTAAAATGCTTCTGTAAAGCAAAGGACACTGTGGTCAGAACAAAATGACAGCCCACAGACTGGGAAAGGGTCTTTACCAACCATCTGACAGAGGGCTTATCTCCAGAAAATATATAGAACTCAAGAAGTTAAACACCAACAAAGCAAGTAATCCAAGTAAAAAATAGGGTACAGAGCTAAACAGAGAATTCTCAATAGAGGAATATCAAATGGCAGAGAAACGCTTAAAGAAATGTTCAACATCCTTAGTCATTAGGGAAATGCAAATCAAAATGACCCTGAGATTTCACTTTATACCCATCAGAATGCCTAAGATCAAAAACTCAAGTGGCAACACATGCTGGAGAGGATGTGGAGAAAGAGGAACCAGCTTCCATTCTTAGTGGGAGTGTAAACTTGTACAACCACTTTGGAAATCAATCTGGTGCTTCCTCAGAAAATTAGGAATAGTGCTACCTCACGATACAGTTATACCACCCCTGGGCATATGCTTGAAAGATGCTCAATCATACAACAAGTTATTTGCTCAACAATAGCACCTTTATTTGTAATAGCACAACCTAGATGTCACTCAACTGAGGAATGGATACAGAAATAGTGGTACATTTACACAATGGAATACTACTCAGGCATTAAAAACAAAGAAATCATGTAATTTGGATGGAAATGGATGGAACTAGAAAATATTATCCTGAGTGAGGTAACCCAGAAGCAGAAAGACACACACAATTTATACTCACTTATAAGTAGATATTAGCCATAAAATATAGGATAAACATACTAAAATCTATAGTCCTAAAAAGCTAACAAGGAGGACCCTTGGGAAGGGGATGAAACCTCATTTAGAAAGGCAAACAGGATAGACATTGGAAGTAGGAGAAGACAAAGAACAGGACAGGAGCCTTCCACAGAGGATATCTGAAAGATTCTACCCACCAGGGTATTGAAGGAGATACTGAGCCTCATAGCCAAACATTGGGCAGAATATCTGAATCCTTATGGAAGAAGGAGATAGAAAGATCTGAAGGAACACGAACTCCACAAGGAGACCAACAGGGCCAAAATACCTGGGCCCAGGGTCCCTGCAGTGACCAATACTCCAACTAAGGGCCATGCATGGAACGAACCTAGAACCCCTGCTCAGATGAAGCCCATTGGCTACTCAGTTTCCAAGTGGGATCCCTAGTAATGGGAACAGGGACTCTCTCTGACATGAAAGCAGTGGCCAGTTCTTTGATTACTTCTCCCTGGGGGGTGCAGCCTTGCAAGGACACAGATGAAGACAATGCAACCAGTCCCGATGAGACCTGATAGGCTAGGGTCAGACAGAAGGGGAGGAGGACCTCCCTTCCTTGTGGACTAGGAGAGGAGCAAACGGGGAGAAGAGGTAGGATGGGTGGGAGTGAGAGGAGCTGAGGGGGATACATCAGAGATACAAAGTGAATAAATTGTAATAAATGTTAATTATAAATAAATAAATTTTAAAAATTAAAAAATAGGAAAAAACAAAATAAAAACCCTACTATTAGCATGCACTGCCTGTTGTAAGTAGTATTGTTTTGCTAAATCTGCTCCATGTGCTTTGTTAGTCACATATCCTTCTGTTACACTTGTGTCATTAATAAATATTTTAGCACAAGAGAAAGCAGATACATAAATATTACTAAAGTAAAACAAACCGTTATATTCTCTTGATGTGTTATATATATATATATATATATATATATATATATATATATATATCATGCACATTTATATATATATATATATGCGTAGGAACAGAGATCATTTTA